TTCATCACACACGCCGGAATGAACTCCGTTCTCGAGGCGACGTTCGCTGGCAAACCCATGGTGGTCATACCACTGTTCGGAGATCAGTTCCTCAACGCAAAAAATATTCGACGAGGAGGCAGGGCGGTGATGATTGACAGGAGCCAGCTCAACAAGGACACTTTGGTAGCGGCAATTCGTGAAACGCTCTCACCAGATGCGTGAGTGAACTTTCGATTTTTGCTACACCTACCATTTTTCTTCAGCTGTCATTTTCATAATCGAAATGGGAAATGGATAATCAGCCCATAAAGTTCCAGTAAATTGATTTCCGATCAAGTGTGGAAAAACAGAAGTATAAGGCTGATAATGTGAGGTCATCTCCCCATTTCATCCACAGTAGCCTCGATACCTGCGATTAAGCCCATGAAAGGTATTGGCAGAGAAAAATATACAGGCCGACAGAGAAGATTGGGAAGTTTGTTCTAATGTGTTGAATGAGCAATGATAATACACCTCAAAGGCAGTGGATGCCATGACTGAGAGGCGGGGTTTACGGATTGACGGTGTGACGATGAGATGGAAGTGCGCGGGGCGTGGTCGGGACCTTTCTCTCTACGCCCTTCCACCAATAACGCTTTGTGACGTCATCAAAACCGCTCCGCCTCTCAATCTCACCCATTGCGCCTTACTATTTTTTGAAGGTGCCATTCCACGGAATATATGCACACGTATGATGATTTTACCAGTGCATTACCTCTCTTCTAACTTCTATGGGAGATTAGTTAATTTTTTTTGATGGAAAAACCGGATTTCTCTCATTCATTCGCTAATCCCAAAATGCTGCCATTTCAGTATCCTATGCGCGCAAAGCTGCCACAGTGGCACGACATCTTCGTGGACGAGCGGCCGCAGCACGTGCTGAGGTAAAGCGTTGGGTGAAGTTGGTGGCCGAAGAAGGCCAAATGGATCATCTGATGATTCGTGCAAGAGATCTCTCATTTGTACAATACAACTGTCTCGATATTATCGCATATTTGCTTGCTCAATTCGCAATCGTTCTATGTTTTGTGGTTTTTATTGTAAAACTTCTCCTGAAATGGATCTCGCTTTCTTTAAAGAAAAGTAAAACCGAATAAAATTTTCCGATGTCGTGCTTTTGCCTGCGAATTTGAGTGCAAAAAGCAATTGCTGGCTGTAAAATGTAAAAGTGAATGAAGAAACTACATCATCATCTTTGCTCTTCACAGGTGCCAAATCTCATTGGTAAACTTTTAAAGGGTCATGAGAAGGATGTTGATGGTGGTGATAAGGCAATCGTGCAACTGCTGGTACATATTCACGTGCAAACACCCATGTGAATGTCGTATGGTTAGATGATCATTGGCCAAAAGTGTCCGAAGGACACGTGGTGAGAGATGCAGTGGTGCTCTGCTTCTCAGAGCGGTCGTAATTTTCTTCAGCTCGAGTTCCGTTTTATAACTGTTCAGGGATACTGTAAGAGTGCCGGAAAACAGCAGGACTCCAACAAGACTACACTTCAATTGTGTTTTCTGTGTGTCCACTGTGTCCCACTGTGTGTCTGTTGACCCGTCGCTTTGATAACTGCGACGGAATCTCATGGAAACCAGTTTCACTCTGTCTGCCCCGATTATTGCACAACCCCCTGTAATATGTCGAAAGTATAAATCATCATAAAAAGCAAGTATACGGTGCTCATCGGTCTTTTTCAAATGTGCTGCCAGTTGTTGCTCGCTGGGTCATTACCCCTCCTTCATTCACACTCACTTAAGAACATGTATATACTATTTCTTTGCTCGTAAAGAGGAAAACGAGGCTCTGTACAAGAAAGTTCGGCAGGTGCTGAAAATCTTGCTTTTGATCTCACTTGTGCCAACCCCCATACAGGCACAACCTGAGCAGGATAGAATGAACGATTCCCTTCAGTCTGTAGGATAGACCCCTAGAGGACAATCACAGATGTGGCACTTCCCGTGCATGGAAATCACCCGACAAGAGCGCTAGGGCCTTGCAAAGTAGCTGCAGCAGCTGCAATGTTTCCGCAGCAGGCTGTTGTCTGGCGCCCTCTCATCTGTTGCGCTCTTTCGCCTCATACTCTCCTCTCCGCGCTCAGTCTCTCACTACCGTATGGTTAGCATGGCATTGCGAGCTAGCCCTTACCTTGAGGATTTTCGACGAATCCTTTTTTCCTTTCTGCCGGTCGATTTCCCACCACTAGTTTCATATTCATGCGCAAGAACCACAAAATTATGATCCTGGGGCATCCCTTTAATTTCCGGCTAGAGATCAGTGGTTTCTGCCCAATTTCGATTTCAATTTTGTGCACTTTACGATTGCTCCCACAAGTGAAACCTCATTGATCAAGCAACTCACATCGCTGAAGCATATCCCGTTGTGTGAAAATGTAGGGCAAGAGCGCCAGAGTCCATCGTGGTCGCCCAGGACTGTCGCTTCTCTTGACGATGACGATGCAGACATTGGTACGTCTGCCGCCAGTCTGCTGTGCTCTCTCTCCTCGCTCGTATGCTCTGTCACCTCGGCGCACAGTTTCTCCTTTACTATCGACTCTGTCTGCTTTTTGAACCCCTCTGAAGGTCAACAAAGGAAGACTTAGTTTCAGTTTTTCTCTGGTTTCTTATCA